TGCTTGCTTGCTTCTCTTGGGGGGAGAAAGCAAGGGCCAGGGGACAACAAGGCCAAGCAAACACCCCCTCCCCAAAAAGAGGGGCATCCCCATTGCAAGACCCCCAGGAAGCCCACCTGGACAAGGAGATGGCGAGGGGGGAGAGCCTGGACTCTTCCTTAAGGGTCAAGGCTTTGGGCTTGGAAGGGACACACACACGCAGCCCAGGGGCACCTAAGCCAACCCCATTGTGCCATGCAGGAAGGGTAAAATGAAAGGTGGCCACCCAACCTCCAAAGATGGAGGAGAGCCAAGAAGGGTAGAATCGTTGGACAGTAGTAGTAGTAGAAGGGATAGTAGGGTTGGAAGGGTTGGAAGGGGCATCGAGGGTCATCGAACCCAGCCCCATTGTGCCATGCAGGAATGCCAGTGAAAGATGGCCACCCAACCTCCAAAGATGGAGAGTCAAGACCCTTGGAAGCAGAAGGGTAGAATCGTTGGATGGTAGCAGTAGAAGGGATTGTAGGGTTGGAAAGGACATCAAAGGTCATCTAGTTCAACCCCATTCTGCCATGGAGGGAGGCTCCTGAAAGATGGCCACCCAACCTCTGTTTCAAGGCCTCCAAAGATGGAGAGTCCGCCATCCTCTGAGTCCCACTGTCAGGCAGCCTTTGCAAGCCAGAAGTTCCTCCTGATATTTGGGTGGAAACGTTTTTCTTGCAAATTGAATAAAAACCCACTGGATGACCTTGGGCAAGTCACACTCTCTCGGCTTCGGAGGGTGGCAATGGCAAACTCCCATTGAAGAAACGTGCCAAGAAACCCCCATGATAGGTTTGCCTTAGGGTCACCATAAGTTGGAAATGATTCCTTCTCCCGGTTCATCCTCTCCAGGGACTCCTTCCCTCCTTGCTGTGGAAGGTGCCAAGGATGATGGGTCTTCTCAGTTGGGATCCATGCAACTATTCTCCAGGGCATTCAGCTCATGCCCAAAGCAAGGAAGGCTGCTTCAAACTCAGGACTTCCAAAGGAGAGAGAGGCTTATTGACCCATGGATGTGCCCTGGCCAAGGTGCTGAACGGCCTTCCCAAGCCTTCTGCCTGTTCTGTGTTGATGCAACGCTTGCACGGAAGAGCAATGTTACGCTACTGAGCTTGCACACTGATGCACAACCAAAGGGAGGACACACCTGGACACACCTGGCCAAAATGGAAGGTACTGCACTTAGGGCAAACATATGAAATGCATAGCTATAGGACGGGGGACACCTGGCTTAACCCTTCTATCTGTGAAAGGGATCTAGGAGTCTTAGTGGACTACAAGTTGAGCATGAGTCAGCAGTGCGATGCAGCAGCTAAAAAGGCCAATGCGATTCTAGGCTGCGTCAATGGAAGTATAGTATCTAGATCAAGGGAAGTGATAGTGCCACTCTATTCTGCTTTGGTCAGGCCATGTCCAGAGGAGGGCAACTTAAATGGTGAAAGGACTGGAAACCATGAACCCCTTTGAGGAGAGATTTAGGGAGCTGGAGATGTTGAGGATGGAGCAAGCTTGTTTTCTGCTGCTCCAGGGAATAGGACACAATGGAGCCTCAATGGATGTAAATGGCAGGAAAAGAGATTCTACCTCTTTTGGGATCTCTTTTCCTATAGCTTCCATCCATTGCTCTGTATCCTATT